TTATAATTACTGGGTAAATAATTTTATGGTTGGGGGTCACCACAACATGAGGAACTGTATTAAAGGGTCACGGCATTAGGAAGGTTGAGAACCACTGCTCTATAAAGAGTACCTGTTACGTGTCTATTGTGAAAAAAAAGTGCCAGAAAAATCCTGGACCTTTTGTATATATCATAAAGCACTGGCTTGAAGAACTGTAAATGGTGTATGTGTCCCCTAGGTATCTCATCCATACGTATTGAGAAGCTCCGTGTTTTTTATGTATAATATAGAGAAAGCATAATTTTTGCTTTGTCGGATTTTAATATGTTCTGGTCTGTGTCCTGGAATTGAAAGAGCTTTGGTTGGGATCTTTATTGTTTATTTATTTCAGGTACTTATATAGCGCCGTCAATTTGTGCAGCGCTTTTACATGTATATTGTACATTCACATCAGTCCCTAACCCTCAAGGGGTGTACAATCTAAGGCCCTAACTCACATTAATTCATACACATACTAGGGACAATTTAGAGAAGATCCAATTCACCTACCAGCATGTCTTTGGAGTGTGGAAGGAAACCGGAGTACCCGGAGGAAACCCACGCAGGCACAGGGAGAACATGCAAACTCCAGGCAGGAGGTGCCGTGCTGGGATTCGAACCAACGGCCCTAATACTGCCAGGCAGAAGTGCTAACCATTTAGCCACTGTGCTGCCCATAATTAGTCTTAAAGTGATTGAAAAGCCTCAAATTTTTTTTCATTATTAAAATAACAAACATGATATACTTACCTGCTCTGTGCAGTTGTTTTGCACAGAGGAGCCATATATATATATATATATATATATATATATATATATATATATATACTGATTGAGGCTCAGGGCTCTCTCTCTATGTTTTTTCTGCTGTGAGAGCCTATTGCTGGATGAAAAGGCTGAGTACTGACAGAACACTAAAAAGGTAAGAGCTGAGGACATTGTATTGTGATAGCTGGACTCGACACTGGCAGAATACACCGATCAGTAGAAATGTGTGATTTGTTTTCTTACAAATCGAAATTTGGACGAAATTTTCGTTCTTTGGAGATTTGGATGTATCGGAAACTCCAAATCACAACAGTAACGAGTTTCAATGAATTGAAATAGATTATAACAAAAACAACAAATGAATTCATATTTATTCTTTTCATTTGTTTGTGACTTCAGAGGGTTTTGTAAGTTCAATAATATGTGTCACACTCTGTATTATTGAGATTGGCCAAAGGCAAAGTTGCAAAACATCAAAGTCATAAGCCAGTCACATTAATATTGAAAGCAAGTCACAAGACATCCAAGTCACATCCAAGTCACATCAAAGTCGCAAGCAAGTCTTGATGCAAAGCAATCAATTTTTTTTGTCATGCACATCTCCTAGATTGTAAGCTCCAAGGATCAGGCCCGCCTGTCCCTCTTGTATTGAACTGTATTGTTGCTGTATTGTCTCCCGTTATATTGTAAAGTGCTGAGCAAACTGTTGGCGCTATATAAATCCTGTATAATAATAATAATCTCTACTGATCAGCAGCTGCAGCCTATCAGCCGATCCTCGATTGACAAAAGTGTCTGGGGACAGCCACACACAAATCAAAATTGCTGAACCAACCAAATTTTGATCCATCTATGACCACCTTAATCAAAAAGGAATCTTAAAAGTCGGGACAGGGCTAAGTTTAGTTGTTACAAGAAAAGTCACTATTTTCATATAACTTCAGCTGCCTGTACTTGTGGATCTACTTATCATTTTAACGTGTGGTTTTCACCGAATGCAACTTCTGCTGATGTATTTTTCATCATATTCTCAGTGTGAATTGCCCACATTTGTAATTGTTGTTTTTTTTTTTCATATGTTGAGCTTATAACAGATAATGGGTTATTATTGGTCCTTTGGTCGGTCATGGATTTAGTGGAGTGCATCATAGTGTTATCACCTTGGTTGTTGGCAACAACAAAAAGTTTGTTGTGTATTTGGAAAAGTTTTATAACCATAAAATGAAATAAAAATGCCAGATATGTTTCACCTTTACATGTTTTCTTCAAATAAATGTCTAGTTTAAACCTCATCGGTAATGAGCACGCATTCATACTCTGTCACACACACTGTGAAAAATAGTTGTTCTAAGCATATTACAGTAGGTTCCATCTGTGTTATAGCTAGGATGACCTATAATATGTTTGTTTGTACAGTATGTCATGACCAGCACAGCTATATGGGGTTTAATACTCATCAAATGGACAGAATGTTTTAAGTAGGATGAAATAATGTGATCTCTGTGCCAAGTACAATGCAAAGGTACATCTTATTTTAATGCAAGCCTCGGCAATGGTGTTTATATTTTATAAACCATACACCTGTGCAAAAGAGACAGGCACATCTTTTCTGATTATCTGACTGCCAGTTTAAAATGCATAAAATCATGTTTCATCACTTTGCCTCTGGGCTCAGATATTTATTTGCAATAACTTTGTTTCAGCTTTTCCCCCTTTTGTTTGTAATAGTTTTGCATGTTTAAAGCTCTGGTCTGGGATCCCCTTGCATCCTTATGCCCCAGCTTTTATTCCACACCACCCTCTAGATAATCGCTAGATTTAATTATTTTAAAAAAAACTAAAAATCTCTGTAACTTATCCAAATTTGTGATTGCAAGTCTTCTCTCTTTTAGACTGCAGAGTCCTTATTCAAGTGTTTATGTCACTGCATGGGTAATGTGAACAATTCCTATTGACTGTCCAGCAGTGTGTTCCTCCCAGGCTCCAAAAGACTGCAGTGGCATAATAACATCATGACATGGGACAGCAAAACCAGTTGGAGGTCATGCCAGACCACCAGTCTTCACTACTAGAAGAGGGGATGCTGAGGGCCATATGATGGTGGACTCAGGCATTTAAGACCTAAACTCATATCCTCTGCTGCATCTAGCAGTGGCTCTCCATGTTGAGCAACCTGAGATGCTAGACAGCATCCTATTTGAACCCTTAGAAAATCTTGTTTCTGATGAACCTTGAACTCCTTGCTCCTCCCATGAATTTCCCAATTAAGCCATGCCTTTGCACTTTCTGTTTGCAAGATTATTGTGTTCTTTTCTGCCGATATCTTGCTTCTTTGCGTACCTGAAGAGGTCCTTATTTTCACTCCCACTTGTTACCAACCTATTGACCTTTGGATGTCCTCTGACTACACTTTTGCTTGATCCCAACCTGCAACCACTTTTTACTGCCCTTTGGCTTGTTTACTGACTATGCTTCTGCTTAGTCCCTACCTGCTATATCTGCTACTGGGCTTTCGCACCTCCTGGTGAGGCATTACTGAGGACTGCAACCCTATACTAACACTCAGCAAAACCCATCTCCATCATCAGGAGCTCTGGTGAATACCAGTTAGCTCTTAGCTCTAGATACCGCAACTCGGGTGAACCTGCATCATTTGCCAGGGTGACCTGCTTCTGCACTTATCCAGCTGGTCAGTGGGAACTTCTCTACTGCTATAGCTACTGGTCTCCAAACTTGACCCCAGACCATGACATTAAGAAGGGATTGGCTCCTCCAGGTACACCTGCCCTTAACCTCTCTATTGATATATGTGCTCCTACTATGGATATTAGAGTTAGGTTCACAGTATAGAGAGGACCCTTGACTATGGCTTACGCATGTATTTGCAAATGTGTGCAAACAAAACCCTCTGTTTTCAACCCTTTTCTGGTGGCTCCTCCCAGTCCTTTTAAGAAGCCGAGAGGCGGGGCGGGGTTTAGAGTCATGTGACCGCAGTGACGCACCGTCACTGCGGTCACATGATCAGGAAAGGTCCCAATCGAAAGAGGAGATCGGGACCTTTCCGTGAGTACCCAACATGTGTGCTGGGAGCGCGCAGGGCGCGAGCTCTCAGCACATATGTTCTTTTTTAATAGGCTGCAAATGTGCAGCCGCTCGGCATCTAGGCCCAGATGTCGGGAGGCCGCACATTTGCATTTGGCCGTAGTGAAGAGGTTAATGCACACTGCTAGACAGGGCCAAATTGGTTGTTTTGCAGGCTGGCTGGTAAGTGTTGCTGGGAAATCCTTTGTTTGTTTGTTCTGTGCAGGCCACCTTAGTTTCACCCAACCAAACGTATAAAACCATGTTTTTATGCTGCTGGCTTTGGGCTGCATTCATAATAGAAAAAAGGATATTCCCCAAACTGTTGTCACAAGGTAGGAAGAGCACACTTGTTTACAATATCTTTGTATGCTGTAGCATTAGCAGTTGCCATTCATTGGAAACATCAAAATTCAATCATTTGGTGGGGTGGTCAAATACTTTTTCCCTTTTAGTGCGTTTTGGTCAGAACACTATCTGCATGGAGTTTTCTTGCTCCTCTTGTGCTTGCATGCATTTTCAATGGGTATTTTGGCTTCTCTAAACATTTCTACTAGTAAGTAATTAACAACTTTACAAATTGCCCTTAGCAGTGATGAGTTTGGGCACTTTGGGAATCTAGTCAGTACCCAACTGAGCGAGCCTGCCAGGAAATGGACAGGCTGCAAATATACAATACATGCTGATGAGGAATGTGTTGGCTGCTTATGATTAGCCCAGTACAGTGAAAGCTCGTTATGTTATGATTCTGAGATTCTGATGGATCCACCTCCATCCAACCCGAAACAATAAGTAGGAATCATCATCTTATTTCACTTTTATACCTTACTGTATTTATTGCAATATGTTTACATTTCATATATTGTGTATTTTTTATAATAAAAAATGTTAATGCAACATAAAAATGAAGAGGATCTGAATTAATTTGGATCATTCATTATGTTGTTACCTTATTTTGGATGCTTTAAAAATTAACAAAAGGCCCAAAATATTGCATCATGATATCCAAATGAAACAAATGAATACAAATTAATGTGTTGTTTCATTATAATTTATTTTAGATTTGTTGAAATGTATTACTGTTGTGATTCAGAGATCGTAACAAAACAAATCACATGTGTCTAGTTCAGACTAGGATCAGAAACATGCTTGAGGTCATCCTAGTCCCTAATATGTGTGTGCGCAGGGGCGGACTGACAAATCATGAGGCCCCCGGGCAATAGGGGATCATGGGGCCCCTGTGTCCTTGCCCAAACTCAAAAAAGCCTATGAAAAAGGTACCAGGAGCATCTCATGGGGCCCCCTACTGACCCCGGGCCCTCGGGCAGTGCCCAAGTTTCCAAATGGTCAGTCCGCCCCTGTGTGTGTGTTTATGTATGCATTTGAGATGGGGACCTTAGATTGTAAGCTTCTTGAGGGCAGAGACTGATGTAAATGTACAATATGTGAAATGCCGCATAAGTTGTCAGTTGCCAGCTATATAAATACCTGTAATACTACTATTACTACAATAATAATAACAACAATTATTATTGATATTATTAATATTTTTTTTTCTCATCTTAATATCCTTAAGAAACTAGTTAAGTGTGTCATATTGGTCCATTGAATTCAGTACTTTGATGAGATAATGTTTTATGCAATTATCTATATTAAACACATGACATATAAAAACAATAAAAAGAATATAGTTTCTCTCTAAAATAATTCCCTACTTATTAAGTACACAAGTATTGTACTTCAATCTAATATGCACCAAATATGACACCCCAAAGCCTTAGAAATCAGAGCTGTAGTAAGTAACTTGTTCGACTGTAATATATAAATGTAAGAAAGAAAGGGGGCAGCCAGTAATCACCAATCGCAATTATTTAAACAGATCCAAGCTGACAGGTGGAGATACAGTGATTTGAGAGTTTAAAGGGGAAACTGTGCACAGAAGTGTAAAGATTCATTCTTTCCTAAAGCAATCTAGGTACAGCATAAGATGAAAGAAAAACAAATCATAACATTTTACAGCCCACAGTTGGGTGATAGGTGCAGGGAATCTGACCAAAAAATGTCAAACAATAGCCTATGGATGAAAGGGAAAACTTTGCACACAGATACAGGATGAAGTACATAACTGTATAAACCAACGTATATGTGGCTTTACCCTTGTGAGGGCCATTAGTTGATGCTTGCCCCCAGTTGTTGCCCTGACCTTGCAAGCCTCTCAACCCCTCTGACACTCTAGATTCAGACATCGTTAATGCAAACAATAATACCTTGTTAATTGAGGAAGAAGACACAGTTCAAGTTTGCCAAAATAAATATTTAAGAAGTAGTTGGATTGAACAATTAACAGTTTTCACAAATTAACCTCTGAAACGGCTTCTGCTACGATAGTGACTAACTTAGCATCAATACCACAATTAAAGAACTTGGCTTTAAATGAATGAAGTTTAAATGAATGAGTGAACGTTAAAAAAAAGCTTGATTGTGTAAAGGTATAAATAAATGCACTTGGAATATAATGACCAGTGTTGACATTGGTGTAAGGGGGAGAGACTTAGAAACAGGCCAGCTCACTTTGGACCATTGACTGGAACACTGAGGAACATTCCTAAGTTATACCCTTACTCAAGTAGAATCTTACTTAGGCAAAAGTCTTCGTTAGTTGGTCAATAGGTGAGAACAGTTCAGACTTCAGATGTGAGGCAATATCTTTACTAGCACTTTGGGGCCCGTAATTGATGGTGACTAGCCACAGATCTGCAGTGTCTAGTATGGGAAAGCTGAGCTAGCTGTAATGGAGTCCCTCAATGCAGCAAAGATATGATGTTTGCATGCAGTGTCTCTAGGTAGTGAAGTGACAGAATGAAAGTGTGTGAACATTTGTCCACCTGCCAATCCCATCCTGAAGGCTCCTTATGCTAGAACAAGACAGTCAATCCAAGCTTAACAGGTGTGCTGTAGTGACAGCAGAGAGCTCGATCAGTTGGCCCCGTTGACAGATCAGTAATCAGCGTAGAACTTGTAGAGTGTCTCTCCAGCTGAATAAAAGGCCTTGAACATTAGGCTCAAACAGTGTAGATCCCCCTCTTTAAGTTGAAGGCATTATTAGGGGAGGGCTGAGAACATTAATAGTGGGCTGAGGACATTAATAGGGGGGTGGTGAGGAAATTAATGAAGGGGTCTGAGCACATTAATCATTGAAAAATACTCAATGATGCATATTTTCAACCCAGTGTGTCTGGGAAAGTGCCTATGACCTTACCTGAGTGTGGGTCAAACTGTGAGGTAAGAGGCTGAAGAGACATTTGGTGAGCTAAGACTGCTATATATTGTGGATCACATATGAAAGATTTATATGATGACTTTTTGAGATTAATACATGGACTTCACTTTATGATGTTTGTTTCATTTATAGTGCAATTATCTTTGTTATATTGCACATTTCATTTACGTTGATCCTATTGTTGTGCCACACTTTGAGTTATTTTCACTTTTTTGTGGGTGGCAACATTTGTTTGTTTAGTTTATGATTTCGATTTTTTCGTACAGTATTTGTGGTTTTGTTTGGCTAGCACAGGGTTATTCTGTTTTTTTGGTCAAAATTGTGTTAATTAAAGTATAAGCTTCTACAACACATATGTAAACATTATCTTAAGTTCAAAATATTTTTATATACTTGTCCAATTTCACAGCATACTTCTTTGCCTTCTTCAGGAGTGTAAAATTTTAACTACATCCCGCTTTTTTTAACTACATCCCGCTTTTTTGTGTCATCTGAATAATAAATCAGTTTTATATTGGAATTTTCCCAGATTTATCTTATCATAAACCATGATGAATTGAGTACTAAAAATGCAAATTGATTTTTATTTTTTAATTAAATCACATATGGCATCTGACATTTTCTGGGATCACGAATGATATTTAGGAGCATTGTTGTATTTAATCATTTGTATGATTTGATTTCATTTAAAGCAAATATATTGATTAATTACTAAACTTTGTTCCCCCTCCCCTTCAAACATTGGATTAGCATTGCCTTTTATTCTGCGGTAACATCAGGCGTCACAAACGGAGTATGGTAATTTTTGGAAATGCAAAATCAAGGTTCTAAAATTCTGTCATTTAAATGAATGCACAAAGTAATTTATGATTTGTGCTTTCTTTTATCATATCATTTGTCTCTGTTTCGAAAGATGAAGTTGTAAAATGTATTTTGCAGTGGAGCATTTTGAAGCTTATCTGCCTTTAGTAACACATCACCGTCTGTGGTATAGCTTGAGGCCTCGACTCTTCCAATTATTAACAGCCAAAGGCTTAGATAGGGTGTGATAAACAGCATGGAAGCCTCATAGAAGAGGGGAAGCATGTTTACTCAACTAAGGAAATTACAGGACAAAGCTAAATACATCACATCCAAACTGAACTGTGATCAAACATCAGTTGTAAGTAAAACTGTTAAAAAAGGATAAGGTTTTTTAAAATAACATTGTAGCTATTTATTAAGGTACATGCCACATTCAAAGTCACTTAAATCCCCTTTCTTTCCCATTCTGATGCTCGGTTTGAACTTCAGCAAGTCGTCTTCACCACATCTAGATACCTTAATGCATTGAGTTACTGTCATGGGGTTGGGTTATTGCAATTTGTGTTACCAAACAATTGAACAGCTGTATCTAATAAAGTGGCCGGTGAGTGTGTATATATATACTGTGTATATATATATATATATATATATATATATATACTGTATATATAGTAATCTGGGATATCTCTTCCAGGAGATCTCTTGAAAAAAGTTGGTACATGTCATGATGTGGATGCGGGTATACAGGGAGTGGGTTTACTGATTCACTGAACACACAGCGGTCTCATGTGAATGATGTCATATGTGATAAGCTGAGTTTCAAGAATTTGTCTATTGAGCCTCATTTTATGTGGAATAAAGTATAGAGTTTTGGATTTTATTGCACTATTGTAAGCATTCTTTTCCTTACATGTCATGAGCCTATTATCGCACTGAAAGCGGAGTTCAGAAGGAGAGGTATTTGTTGAGCAGAAGCAAAACTGGTCTGGATGCTTTTCTAAAGCACCTTTGCCTATCTAAAATTTGAGAGGCAATATGATCTGGTGACGTTACATAGTTACATACATAGTTAGTCTGGCTGAAAAAAGACAAAAGTCCATCCATAAAAGAAAAAAAAAGTTATAATCCTTTACCACAGTTGATCCAGAGGAAGGCAAAAAGACCCACGAACACTGGATTGGGGTGATTGATTGTGGTCACTGAAGGCATCATTGATGATATATGTGGACATTGTGTTTAAAAAAACTGGGACTGAAGGCACTGGACACAAATGCTTTGTTTAAAAACATTTTTTCCACTTTGACCACAGTGGATTTTATTTTTTTTCATATATATATATATATATATATATATATATATATATATATATACATACATACACTGTGTGCACAGTTATTAGGCAAATTGTATTTTTCAGGATACATTTCATTGTTAAACAATTACAGTGCTCTCGATCAATGCAAAATGGTAATAAACCTTAAACCCAGGGGCGGACTGACCATTTGGAAACTTGGGCACTGCCCGAGGGCCCGGGGTCAGTAGGGGGCCCCATGAGATACCCCTGGTACCTTTTTCATAGGCTTTTTTGAGTTTGGGCAAGGACACAGGGGCCCCATGATCCCCTATTGCCGGGGGCCCCATGAGTTGTCAGTCCGCCCCTGCTTAAACCTAAATATTTAAAAAAGTAAAAGTGAGGTTTCGGCCTTCTTAGGAGAATATATATGTGTTCACAATTATTGGGCAATTATTAGTGTACAAAATTTATTATGCAACTAAATGAAAAATGAAAATGTTTCCATCTCAACAACTCAAAATTTACAAATAAACATTTGTGACTTAAAAAAAAAAAAATCTGTGACTAATATAGTCACCCTTCTTTTCAATAGCAATCAGAAGCCTTCCATTAATGGAGCCTGTTTCTTGATCTGTTGACAGTCAGCTTTTTGTGTAGCAGCAACCACAGCCTCCCAGACACTGTTCAGAGAGGTGTACTGCTTTCCTTCACCATAAATCTCCTGTTTAAGAAGGGTCCACAAGTTCTTAGTTGGGATTAGGTCAGGTGAGGAAGGGGGACATGTCATTATTCTTTCATCTTTTAGGCCTTTACTGGCTAGCCATACAGTGGAGTACTTCAATGCATGCAATGAGGCATTGTCCTGCATAAATATAATGGTAATCTTGTAAGATGCAGACATTTTCCACTTTTTTGAAGAAAATGTCTTCTAAAAACTGGCAGTAGGTTTAGGAGTTGCTTTTGAGTCCATCTTCAACCCAAAA